CTTCTGCTTGAGCATTGCCGCAAGCTCCCTGCTCATCCACACAGGTCTCCTGCCCCCTCTGCCTGACTTGTTACACACAGGGATGCACTGTTGCTTGGCGTGGAGGAAGTGCCGCTTGAAAACTAACCAGCTCTCTTGGGCCCCCCTGCCTTCTAGAGCACTAGCCCATGGGATTCTACTGAGGAGGTCTCTGAAGAGGCTAAAGTTGGCCCTCCTGAAGTCCATCGTCGCAAGGCTACTTACAGCCCTGCCACCTCCTCGTTGGATCCTGAACTCCACCAAGTCATGGTCACTGCAGCCGAGGCTACCCCCCACCTTAATATCTCCTACTAGGCCCTCCCCATTTGATAGCACGAGGTCCAGTAGCCCACCTCTCCTCGTCGGCTTCTCCACAACCTGCGTCAAAAAGTTATCGTCGAGGAGCAGTTATCGTCGGGGAGCAGTTTTGTCAAGGGAAGCCTTGCTCTTTCATCGATTGCCCCAAAGCTCATATCAGTCTAACTCTGCTCATGTTTTTCATTTTGCTCAAGGAATAAAGTAAATCTTAGGCACGATTATGCTAAACCCCTCTTACTGACAGATTCATATCGTGCAGGTAAGAGCAAGTAAAGAAATAGAACTGGAATGATTTTGGAATCTGAGCACTGATATCAATGAATGACTAATATCTACCTCCATATTTAAATTATCTCTGCTTTCCTACGAGGGAAGGGATTCTATGGTATCATTAAATATAATTCCTCAGACAAGCATTGTACAAAGTATTAAATTCTGCACCTTTAAAAAGGACAGACAACAAAAGATTAACTAGCAATATTAAAGAAAAGCCTTCCTGGTTTTTATTTTCCAAGTATCACTGCAATACATGGCAATACAAAACATTTCTTCTCTTGCTAGCACAAAACAGAATTGGATTTCTGTTGCCCTCCATGGTTATTTCTTAAGGGACTCCTGTTTAATCACTTTAGATATGTAATAGAAAATTAAAGAAAATGTGAAGATAGTGCTTTTTTATCCAATTCCAACACTTTTCACTTAAAACAAGTGACCTGGCTCGATATTTTAACAGTTGCACTTGCATTTGTCTTAATTCAGTTTACTATATTTACTATTCAGTTTACTAGTTTACTCTGCTATTTGTTAATGCTTTCCAGCGAAAATTATTACAAAATTGATTACAATCCAAATATTTTAATTTCTGGCTGAACCTGGCTTTACCTTTGTTCGTTTGTAACAATTGCTGCTGCATTGTCTATTGAGTTTTAAGCCTTCTTAACAGATGAGGATGTACCAAGAGATTATGCAACCATTTCAGTAATGAGGAGAAAACCACTTTTTCTAATTTGTTTTAATACTACAAGACTCAACCATAAGGAAAAACATGTTGCCAGTAGAGCATAAGCTAAACGTTGATAGTGTTTTGATGCAAAGCAGACTATACTAGTAGAGTCGTGGGAGCCAGATGGCAAAAGTGATATTACCCATAATTGTGAGTATCAGCTGATACTTGTGCTAGCTTTTCTATAGCTACGGGAGATGCGTATTTCATAGTCAGCTGAGCCGCAAATGGCAGGGTAATTTATTTAATTTTTCCTTTTAAAATTATACTTTTACTTCATGTTGTCTCTCTTTCTCTGAAATTTTAGTATCATATCTGTCACAGGTACAAATTGTCAACCATTTGGCTGCTTAAAGGAGTACTTTTGCCACTTCACCTGTGCTCAAAAAGGTAGCTGAAATCAGAAGTTTTAATGTTCAACTTGTAGCTCTACAAGAGTTTCTTTTTATAGAGGACTGTAATAGTAAGAACATCAAGGAGTTTTTTTTTTTTTTTTTTTTTCGTTTTGGATCGATTTGTTTCCATTTGAAGTTTGTATTTGTTCCTGTTAACTGACTCACTTTTTTCAAGTTTAAAAAAAAATAAAATCAAGAACTTATTCATACTTCTTTCTAAGTAAGTTTCTTTTATTTTCCTGAAATTCAAACCTCAGAATGTAGTGAACATGTTTATAGGTGAAGAACTCTTATTTTCCTTATGAAAAACTCTGCTCCCATTTCCATTATCTGTCATTTTATCTAGCCAAATATGAACCATTTACATTGTTAAGGTTAGAGAAGTGCTTTATGCACTTGAGAAAGAAAAAAAAAATTCCAAGTGAATGAAAAGCCTAAAAGGAAAATGTGGAACTTAAAATTGAAGCCTGTAATATTATAGGGCCTACTTTGTTTCATGCTTTAAATGCTACTATCCCTGTAATTTCTCTGATTTTAATGGCACCCACTTTTAAGCACTGTATTTGGACTTCTTAAGGCAGTGATCTAATCCTTCTGGATCATCAGTTTCTGTAACATGTGGGTTTTGATAAAATGCAGTATAATTTTCAAGATAAGGTTATTTCAGCATAGACAGCCAAGTTAGGAATAATTAAGGACCTTTTGAAATTGGCTACAATTTTGCCTGTTTACTCAGTAGATTGAAACTTTATTTATGCTTTATTAGTGATATGTTAGAGTATAAAGGGGAAAGGGGAAATGATTTATTCATTGTAAATGTAAACCCCTGCAATGTAGCTACCGTATACTTAAATATATTATCCTATTGTAACTTTGGCACTACAATTTTGGAGCCTGCCTTATAGAATTGTCTACTTCAGCCCTTTCAAATAAATGAAAAATTCCAAGTTTTAATGTCATTCTGGAAAATAAGCTCACGTGATGATAATATTCCTTTGAATGGCCTTTAAGCAGAGAAACAATAATAATTGTTGTAAAATACACTAAACATAAGTACTTCAGTGAAGGACAAGTAGTTTTGAAATTCAAAACTGTAGCAATTGCAGCAATGCAGCTTCAGTGTTTTAATTCAAGCAGTTCACACATCTGAGTTAAATGTTTAGCAACTGAAGTACTGAGAGAACTTCACTTGCTTGTTGCACTCCCTTTGAGATAGCAACACTAGGCATATAATTCAGTTTCCTAAAATCCAGTTTGACTGGGCCGACAAAACAATGAGTCTAGAGGATATAAAGATTATTATGTAGGCTGTTCTACAGTTGATAAATGATTTGCATTTATCAATTAAAAGTTGCAGCCCTACAATGACTAGAAGTTTGTAGCCATAACTAAATATTACCAGTGCTAAAAGCTAAATAGATGCACTTTATGTATTTCTAATGTGTATTGAATAAAAAACAGCATATTTTAAAGGCTAAAAAGGACTATTAGAATCATATAATCTGACCTTTCCAGCATAAATTATATAGTATTTCACAATAAACCAGGGCCCAAATTGTAGCAAATGATCCAATCTGGAATAAAAGCTTCAACTAATGTAAAATCAAAAATGTCCCTTAATATATATTCCAACGTGTACTCAACCTTGCTTCAGGTATTACTTGCAGTTTGAAATTATGTTGAAATTTGTACCGTCCTTTTTTGTACTGAAATGTGTACTGTCCATGGGTCCTTCAAGTGAGTAGGTTCCTTTGCCTTGTTGGAGGAAGAGCTACCCGCACCTCTAAGCACAGCTTTGGTAGCAACACCATTGCATGAGCAGACATGTGGGGAGAGGAGGCTGGAAGGGTTGAAATCCAAGCAAGGAACAAAGGACTTGATTGGTAGTCAGCTCAGGCGGGGTGCATCAGAGCAGCACTTTGCACTTTAGTTAAAGTGGTTTGTTAAATTTCCCTCATTTTTCTGCCCTAATTAAAGTTATGACTTCCTGATGAGTATTTGTTTAGATTCAGGGAGCTGCTCCTTCCCAGTTCTCCCTAATCTGATTGCTTTATGAGCACCACTTAGGTCCCCCAGCAGATATATAGCGGTAGGATGCAAATAAGGATTGGCATATCAAGTGTGCAATTAAATTACATAGTCTATGCACAGCTGACCTGGGTGAAATTCACCTCCTTTTGTAGGAACCTGTGCAAAGTGAGGCCATGTAAGGGGTTAATAAGGTTGCGGTGACTAGGTACCTAATCTCGCCCTTTGCTTCAGTGAAAATAGCTTGCTGTTTGGATTACGCGGAATTAGTTTAGCACAGGCAGAAAACACCGAGAACTAGAACTAACAGGACACCACCTCCTGCTCTTGTTGCAAGCTGCACCTAATCACGCCATCTGCTTCTTTAAACACTGCTTGCTACTTATGCTGCATCATCCTGCTCTTGCTGCAGCCACGAGATAAGATATCAGCTGTGAAGAACTGGTAACCATAAAATAAGGTATGAGGGAGTTGCAGCTGTCTACAAAAACATGAACTTCTCCCCAGGCGGGCGCGGATCTCAGGTAGTGCAAGAGATCCGTTGCCGGCTGGCTAATAAAGCTTGCCCTTTTGGTGCTTCAATTTCTGGCTGTTTCCTCTAGTTCTGTCGGTGGCCACCAGTGAAAAGAGGCCAGCAAAATCCTCTTCACTCCCTCCCTTGAGGTACTTATAGACACTGATTAGATCCCCTCTCAGCCTTCTCTTCTCCAGGCTGAACAGGCCCAGCTCCCTCAGCCTCTCCTCACAGTGGCAAACTTAGCTGTACTTTACACACAGAAGTCACCAGACCACATTTGCAGGCCAGCTGGTGACGGACTGAAAGCACCAAGCTAAGAGGCCTGTAAGATAGAACCCAAGGACTTTCCTGTGGGATAATATCCCTTACTGTTAGTAAATCTTTGCATTTGACATAGCATGAAGAGGAAAATACCCGTAGACTTGTATGCGTTAGAAAGATTCACACCACTCTGAATGCAGTGATGAATAGTCCCAAGTAGACGGGATGACACCAAATGTAGCTGAGCTCTGTCTATGCTGTTAACACTTCTGGAGCTGGGTATCATCAGCAAACTTGCTGAGGGAGCACTCTGTGCCTTCATTCAGGTCATTGATGAATAAATTGAACAGGACTGGACCAAGGACTGACCCCTGGGGGACACCGCTAGCTACAGGCCTCCAACTAGACTCTACACCACTGATCACCACCCTCTGAGCTCTGTCATCTAGCCAATTCCTAATCCACCTCACTGTCCACTCATCTATCCCACACTTCTGGAGCTTGCCCAGGAGGATGTTGTGAGGGACAGTGTCAAAAGCTGAGCTGGTATCTTTTTCCTTTATGTTACTTCAGAAAGGAGGAAATGTGCTTTAACTAATAATTTAAGCAAGCATAATAAATGCTTGCAAACCTGCACTGAAAGCCTTGTAAAAATTGTTCCAGTTGCAAGTCAGAGCATCCCAGAAAAAAAAGCCTATTAGACACAGTACTAGAAAACCTAAGCAAATGCCCCAAACAATCCAGTTGAACACATTATTCTGAGACCATGTTATGATTTAGCAGACTTTTTTTTTTTTTTTTTTTTTGTTTTCAACTATTATTCTCAAATCACTTCTATAGGGACAATATCAAGACTATCAAGTCACACTTCTATGGAGACAATAAAGTGTAAGCTGTATAAGCTGGTAAATAAATTTTGGACACGTACTTTGGAAAGATTCTATGTTGCAAACAGTAACAGCCAACAGGAACAATAGGGCACTTGGCTAAACAAGCTGGTGTGTGAGAAGCCCAGCACGGTAAGAGCATTCTTGCATGAAATCAGGGTATTCGTATTTCAGAGAGAATGAACATGGCTGGGTTCAAAGCCAGAGCCATAAGGAGATCTGAATAATTGAAATTAAGAATCAGCAGAGGAGCATCACCATGGCAGAAAAAGAGAGAATTGGACAGAAAATTGGTAGACATGATGAAATTTGTGCAAGGCAGGAAACAATCTGGCAAAAATTAGGTACTGCACGTTGAATCAACTTGTTTTTTTGTCATATCTGTGCCACTTTAAGAGAGACCTTAAAATAGATCCAAAATGATACTTATAAACATGAATTAGTCACTATACCCTCCAGCTGTGAGCATAGAATCAAGTCCAACTCTAAGTCCTTCAACACCGTGCGTGTTAAACCACATCCCTAAGTGCCTCATGTACATGGCACGTGTCCAAAAAAATACAAACCTAGGGAAATACTATAGGTTTATAGCCGTGAGTCAACACTCAGCTAAGGAAATGCCTGTGCTGACTGAAGGCATTACCCAACCCTCAGTTGTTGGTGACCCCCCCCCCCACCTGCCTCATGCTACCCCTCCATGCTCAGGGGAGGGATGACTTAGGAAGCCCTCACACAATCCAGGCCAAATCAGATAAATCAGCTCCCCTCTTTGGGTATTTCATCTTACCTACGTGGCTTTGCCTGTGGTGACGTAAGGAAGAGTCAGGAGATCCCTTCTCTCCTCAGCAGACCTGTGTGCCTGCGTGGGAGGCAGGATGATGAGCCACACAGCAAGGTCTTCAGGTGGCATGGCTGAAGCCAAGACAGGCCATTTGTGGCCTACTACAGACCTCTGAGCTTAAAGCAAAGGACACTTTCTAGAAGCTCAGCTTTGGCGGCACAGCTCATTACAGAAACATTAGCAGTTCTCCAGCAGCAGCCCATGGTGTTAATGCCAGAGGACTGAGCTCAGCTTGGGGCTGCAGAGGGAATTTTGATTTGCCTAGTGCCCTGCAGCATATTATACCACAGAAAATCAGCAGTAATAGAGCTCTGCTCTGCCTCTGTATGCCATCCCATCCAGCGTACACCTCTGCTTTATATTAGGTGCAAGATAGCTCCAAGGCAGGAATAGCACCTGGGTTTCATCCAAGGGAGAATACTAAAACAATGAACTCCCTTCAAAAATACAAAACCCTTTAAAAATCTGTCACTTTGACAAAGATTGAGGGTCAAAAATGTACATAGTATTTAAAAAAAAAAAACGCACACACACAACCACCACTTGGAAATTAGGCACTGAACCTTACACTTTCTTTTGAGGTCAGTTCTCTGTACTCTGTCAAAGCTGATCATCAAAGTCCCTCAGCTAAAGGACAACAGGCAACACCTTTGGACTAAGGGCAAGCTTTTGCCTAAACTTAGACGCTCCATACAACTTGTCAAGCCAAACCAGGCAGTTAAAAGGTTCCTAAATAATGAAAACATGCACAGTTAAACTATATACAATGAATTTTAAGACCAAATTTCAAGTCAGCTACTGATAGAAAAGCCTAAGGAAGGAATCAGACCTGCAGGTATTCATTACATGGACTCCTACCTTAAGCACCTATAACTTTCCATTAGACAGAATTAAAAAAAAAAAAAAGGAATTTTGCTGATCTTCAATCAAAATATGCCCACAAAATGACATCATGAGAACTTTTTAGGACACAGGCAAAATAATTACATTGCAGTCTGTTGACAAATGCCAGAGGCATACTACTAAAGCAGCATGCCTGAGCAATTGCTGTTACTGAACCTGTTCAGAAAAAAGATTTTTAATCAAGCTATTAATCCAGATGCCATCTTAACAGTTTTCTTGCAAGTCTTTATACATATTTATATGTATATGCATTATATATAATATAAACTTTTATATATTATACACTATATAACATTCATAATTCTTTATAAATTTTATTATATTCCCAACACAAGTGCTGAAGTAGTAGCATGAACTCAGGTACTAGATGATAAACAGCATGAAATCCCCCAAAATTTTAAAAGGTATAGTGTAACAAAGACGTCCTTATTACTGCTGCATGAAAAGGAGATTGTGTTATATTCCAAACACAAACACTAATCATACATAACACCTGGGAAGTTATTCTGCAACCATGAAGAACTTAATAGAGTAATATTAAAAAAAAAAAAAAAACTTTCTTTTTATTGGAAAAGCCCATGTGATCCTCAAAATAATAGCTTACTGAAACACACCAGTAAGTGAAAGGATGTTCATGACACTTAAAGGACTTCCTTATATCGCCTGCAAAACAACAATAATTTATTTATCAATCAGCGGAGATCGTTTTCATACTTCAAATTGGAAATAGACTCATTTGTTATTCTCCTTGGTTTTTCATTTCTGAAATTAAGCCAAAACAAAAAAGATACTTGGAATTCAGACTACTAGTTTCATTTGCAATGCATGTCACCATCACACCAGCAGTACAGGGGCTTTGTAAGGCAAAGCCCTGTTCTACAGATGCCCTCCTCTCGCGCTCTGCGGGAGGTATTTCCACTTACCTACTGCCGAAGGGAGAATGCTGCCTGTCACAGAGCTTTAGTATCACCAAGCATTTATAGTTTACAGGCAGTACCACTGACACAGGAGTGAGGAGAAAAAGTACAAATAGATAAGAGGAATAGGAAAAAAAAATCTTCTTTTTTTAAATTAAAAAAGAGCAGCAAAAAGCATTATTGATAATTTTTGTCCCTCTAGTTCCTAATGGATTCCACAAAAGCACCTTCCAGAATCCATTGGCATAACCCATTTTTTTTGTAGTGAACTCAGAACTGAACACAAATAAGCAGCAGTGGCCCGTACATTTGCACCTTTAAAACTGGAAGAGAAGAGGTCTTTTTCTCTCCTCTTTCTTCCCTAAAAAGTTGATAGTATCACTAACTAGATGAAACCGTAGCTTAAAACTTAAAAACATTTTATAAAGTTTGTCCACTTCTGTCATAAAATTCTACACAAACTGAAGCTAAACAGGGACTGTTTCAAGGCACTCTCCTTTAATTGGATTAGCTTCCACATCATTACAACCGTGAAGTGACAAAGTACCTTACATTGAGTCACATTTGCTCTTCTCTTTGCTCACTCCTTCATGAGACAAAGTAACCAGAGAGTCAAGAACAGTCCTTCATTGAGCAACAGATAAGTGAAAGGTCAAACACGAGCACTTAAGGGGAAGGATTACACAGTCCATAAGCACACAGAGCAAGATATCTAGTAGTTTGTTTCCACGTGGCTGTACTATGCCTGCAATGCTTGTGTCAATACACGTATGTTTTATAGGTCTTAATTAAACCTTTGAGCCCTCAAAACCATTTGCACTAAAAGAGAGGATCTGTTTTTCTCTGCTGTCTTTAATATAACTGATGGAGAGCAACCAGCACCTAACAGTTGTGGGTTTTTTTTTTTTTAATCTCTTCTCTGTGCTCCAAGCACAGGCCAAGACATTTGAAAACACATGAAAGACAAAATCACCAAAACACAAGGCAGCAGCTACCCCAGGTGACAGGCACAAAAGAGTTCCAAGTATCATAAATTCAACATTAGTTTTCTCCATAGCAGGAATATGCAAACTGCCTTAGTTTGAATAGCAACTTAGTCAGACATCCCATGCTGATGTAGTGCCCTTGACAGCACTAATTCCTTGTTACACCTCAATTCCACACACAGTTCAGGGTCTCCCACAGAGCACGATACAGCGCTGGCAGGGATGTCCCACGAGCACCCGTGTAATGTGCAGGTCATGGCTGGGAACCTCAAAGCCAAGAGGTGCAAGTTGCTCTCTTTGAAGAATTTACATATTCATCAATTTACTTATTCAGATGGCTCTAAAGGTCTATCTGATTCTGCCCAATTGCTCAGCTAAAGATAGCCTGCCTGGGACAGAGACTCTCCCCAGACTCTCCTCCATTATTACTTTCAAAACCAGTCCACACCAGCATCTTAGCAACTCAAATATTTAATGAAATCCAAGTTGAGACTGTGGAGAATAAGATAACTTTGTTTCCTCTGGCAATTTACAGAGGGCTTTTTTTTTTCTTTTCTTTTCAAGGAAATGCACGTCTTCCCTACATGTGTCATCTGGTTAAGGTATCTCTGGCCCCCCAACTTCTCCGTATGAACCAATAAAATCCATTGCTGTGAAGTGTGTAATGAAAGGAACACAATTTAAAGCCATCCATCCAATTAAAACCTTTTTAATGAAATATCCAGAGATTAATAAATCTGTCTTCTCAAGATAAAATATTGAGTTGTGTTTGTACTTACAAGTTACTGTCCAATTTTAGACAAGCGCCACAATAGCTTCACCACAACTAATCAACTGAACAAAAATACCAGAAATAGCTAATGGGAAAAGGAACTTGGAATTGGGGTTTCGCAGTTTTCATTCAG